AGCAAGGCACAAAAGTTCTGTGGGACCAATGTTTTGAAGGAAAGCCAGAGAGTTACACTCAGCATGTGGGTTCTCTTTTCTCTAAAAGTATATGATGATTCTAAAAGCCTAAAATGAAAACCTGGCTGCAACTTTATATGCATGCTTTACCTTGAGGGACAAGTTAAATTCAAGGTCTATCAGGGAGAAGAGTCCTTTTTCAATAGACAGGCTTTCATCTGAGACCATTTGAGGGCTTTACTCTTGAAGTGGGGGAGAATAGACCATAGAGTAGTCCTGAAAGAAAATCAAACCCAGTTTGAATAATCTAATTTCTTGATTGAATTAATGTTATCTGGGATCTTTACTTCTGCATGCTTAGTTGTCAGCTAAAAACTCTCTTAAATAGGATGACATCATAAAAAGTCTTGAGTCATCTGAAAGCTTTTTATATATGAAATCTGGCACTTAAAAATAACAAAATATAGGAGAAGACAAGGCCTGATTGAAGGGCAAAAGCAATAAAAACAGACATAGATGAATCAAATAATAAAAAAACAAATATTTAAAATAAGGTTAGTATATACAAAAAAATTAAAACTGAAGATAGATAATAAATTGAAAACTATAATAAAATATCTAATAATTGAAATCAAAGACTCGATGACTGGCTTTAACAGCATATTAGTAGCTGATAAATAGAGAACTAATTATTAGAAAAAATATGCAGACCAATGTAGAGAGCAAAAAATTAAATGCAGAAAATAGCCTAGAAGAGGTATAAGGGACACAGTGTAAAACTGTAATGCACATGTAATGTAATTACAATTCCATAAAGAGAAGAGGAAGAGAATAGGGTAACCAAAATATTCAAAAAGATACAGCTGAAACTTTTCTAAAACTGTTGAAAGACATTAAGCTATAAATTCATAGTGTGTTACAAGAGTTATGAAGAATACATTTTAAAAAGAAAAATTTTAAAGGGATAAATAGAAAAGGTAAAGCATAATGAAGCCAAAACACAAGAAAATTTTAAAAACGTGGTACATTCAGGAAAATAGCAGTAAGACCAAACCCTATTTCTTAAACAGAAATCCTGAAAACTAGAAGACGAGGAAATAGATCTTCATGGTGCTACCTGAAAATATATGTGCACATAGAACTAAATATAGATTTTTAAAATATATGTGCACATAGAACTAAATATAAATTTTTAAATCTCATAGAAAGAAACTTAGACAAAATGCAGATATTTTTCTGATCAAATAAAAAAAAAATAGAGATTTTGTGACCAGCCAAATGATGCTATATAGGCCTCTGAAAACTAATCTTCAGGAAAAAGAAAAAGCTCTATAGTGGTGAAAAGGAAATGCAGGAAAGAATGAAGATTATGAAAAAAGGAAATATGGGAGTAAGTAAAAATGAATATTAACTATAGGCAATATTTATAGATGTAAAACAAATAGGAAGATGGGAAATTCAAATCCAATTATATGATCATTTTTATTTCATAAAATTTACAGAGTGCAAGTGTTTTTGTTACAGGGATGAATCGAATCACGTTAAAGTAAGGGCTTTCAGTGTACCTGTCACCAGAATAATGTACATTGTACCTGACAGATAGCTTTTTATCCCTCCCCCTACTTAGTTTTCAATGTCTATTCCCGCATTTTATGACCATGTATATCTTTTGTTTAGTTCCACTGATAAGTGAGAATGTGTGCTATTTGTTTTTTCATTCCTGAGACACCTCTCTTAGGATAATTGTCTCCAGTCCCACCCAAATTTCTGCAAGAGACATTATTAAATTCCTTTTAATAGCTAGATAGTATTCCACCGTACAGATATGCCACAATCTCTATATCCACTTATGTTGATTCTATATCTTTGCAATTGTGACTTGTGCTGGAATAAATATTTGAATGAAGTTGTCTTTTTCATAAAATGACTTCTTTTACTTTGGTTAGATACCCAGTAATTGGATTGCTGGATTGAATGGTGGTCTAGTTTTATTAATAGTTATCTGAAGAATCTCCACACTGCTTTTCATCATTCCTGTACTGGTTTACATTACCATCAACAGCGTAAAAGTGTTCCCATTTCACTGCATCCATGTCAACATCTATTGTTTTCTTATTTTTTAATAATTACAATGATTAATTTTGTTTTAAAGAATAAATGAGTACAATTCACCTGTTTACATAAAACAGAACTCAATAGTAAGAACCTTACAAACAAAATCCTAAATAAGAGGCTAAGAAAGGTAAAAATAAAATAGTAGAATAAACTATATAAACCCTGACCAAAAGAATAGTTTCACAATCAATATCAGGCAAAAATATACTCCAAGACAGTATTAAAAAATTGAACACCCTAAAGAAAGAAACAGACAAATGAGCAATAACACAAGTAGATTTTTTAGCTCAACCCTCAGTAAGGCAAGACTCTGTATCCAAAACATTCATAAATATATTTAACATTTAGACAACACCATTTACAAATGTCACCTACTGATATAGCAGAATAATGCATCCAACAGCTGTAAAATGCACATTCTTCTCAAGCACACATGGAACATTTTTCAAAATCAATAATATGCTGCTTCATAAAGCAATTCTCAACCAATTTCAAAGATTGATGATCATAAAGTATGTCACTGAACATAAAGAATGCAAGCTAGAAATACAAACCTAAAATTAGGCAGATAATTTTTGTATGTTTGAAAATTAAGCAAATAACTTCTAAAGAACCCATTGGCAAAATAAATAACAGTAGAAGTTAGAAAATATTTTGAGCTTAATGATGAGGATATAGCATATCAGAGCTTCTAAAAGTGATCAAAAATATTGCTGGCATTTATTAGAAAAAATATCAAACATCTTGCAATATCAGATTTTGGTAAAGATGTAGCGTAATGGGAGTGTCACACCTTGCTAAATAGGAGTATAACTTGTAACACAGCATTAGGGAAAATTGCAATCATCTGTAAAAGTGAGCATATAAACATTCTACTTAACACAAAATAATTGATTTCAGGATGTCTATAGTAGTACTGTGTGTAATATAAAAAACTGGAAACAAGCCAAATGGTCTTTGAGCGAATGATTACATAACCTGTAGTATATTCACACATGGTGAAATACAAGCAGAGGAAATGATGCAACTGAGCTAACATGCACCAACGTGACCAAATATTAAAAACTTAACATTGTGGATAAAAGTAAAATTCAGAAAATTATGTGCCATAAATGTAATTTTAATAAATGTAAGGAATATTAAAATCTAAATGTTATAGCTTAAGGATAAATTTAGCATTGATATTACCTTTGGGGAAAGTCGGAGAAACAGCAACAGGGAGGTACACACAGGTCGTTCCAATAACATTGATAATATTTTAGGTAAGAAGCTACATAACATATGAATAAATTCCATATATTATGAGATATCCATAATATCATTTTATTATTTAAAATATTTTATTACTTGCCCACCTATGCCCTTTGCAGGGCAGTTTTATTGGTGCCATTTGAGAAAGGTCTTAAAATTAGCCCTCAAGCCTTTGCCTTTCCTTTCTAAGAATGCAGTTGTTTCCTGGTCGTGGCCCCATGAACAAGAGCAGGCCTTGGTCTGAAGTTGCCACAAAGTCCATGTGTGAGGGTCTGAGTGCAAGTCTGTGTCCAGCTCTGGGAAGCTGAGGGAAGTTGGGTGTGTGTGGAAGCTGGGCAGAGCCCTGGCTAGAGATGTGTGGGCATGGTGAGCTGGCCCCACATGAACTCAGCTCCAGTTAAAATAAGAAGTGTTTTAAAAGATTTTTCCATATAGTGAAGTAAACATGTAGTGTAGACCTCTAGATTCAGATATACTCATTCTTATGTCTGTTTCTGCTCCTTTGTATTCTCTAATGTAGAATGTGAAGACTATAGGTAACAATATTGTACTATATTGGAAACTTATGCTAAAGGAGTATATTTTAATTGCTCTTTTCACAAATACAAGAAAATGAGTAACTATGTAATATGATAGATATGTTCATTGCTTCACCGTAGTAATCTTTTAACTTTTTGTGTGCATCCCATAACAACATGTTTTGTTCCTTAAATACACATAATAAAATTTATCTGTTAAATATGTAACTTATTGCAAAACATAATGTTCTATATTGCAATGAAAGCAATTTTATATTCCTCCTGGTTTCTGATATTCCAAGATGGCTGCTGGTTGATAAAAAACCTTTTTTTTATAAAATTGAAAGAAAAATTATTTATACCACAACAAATAATTTTTAAGTGTGTAATTATTTAAATTGAAATTAACATTTAAGGAAACACATTGCTTATGGAAACTGACACATTTCTTTACCAATATCTTCAGACTCATGAAGACAAAATAAGAACCTTTACTGTAGAGTGGCAAAAAGGCACAATAGCTGGTTGAAAATTCACAAAAATAAACCAAAGTGAAATCTCTATGTCATAATTAAGAACTAGAATATGTTTTCTTCACGATCCACATTCCAGCCAATAGATTGTCCACTCATAGTTTCTCTAAACACAATATCATCTATCAACCAAATGTCCTGAACTAGATATGGACAGACACTGATCTGATGGAACAGAAGTATTCTTAAGACAAAATATATAGAACAGTTACAAAAAGTTGCTTTGATGATAGAATAATGAACATTAAAACTAAAATCCACTGTTTTGGCCCTAGAAATTTGTTCTAAGTGTTAGCCAAATTGCTTTCTCATGAAGGGGAATGATAGTAAATTTTCAGAAACAACTTGGTTTTCCCCTTTGAAAGAGTAAACCATCTTATTTTAAGTCCCATTTCAATATAAACTAAAAAAAATTAAGTTACAAGGTGAGCTTAGTTTTATTTTTACTTGTACTAGGATACCTTTTCCTTTAATTTATCCTGCAGAATTTTCCATTTGATTCTAATCTCAAAAGATAATTTATTCTGCTTTTCTGTTGATGTAAATGTAAAGAGAAGAATTCCTAGTGAATCCATTGAATTGACTACATAACCCATTGTTAGAATTTACTGTCTGTTGCCTTAGAACTGGTAAAACACATGTCTGGTGTGGAAGAAATTTGTATTCCATCTCTAGTCAAATTTTTACACCAGAGTTTATCCATAGCATTTTTCATCTCAGAATTTCTCAATGTATATATTAAAGGATTCAACATGGGAGTGATAATTGTATAAAATACAGTTATGAATTTGTCAGTAGGAAAGTTGGAGACGGGTCTAACATACATGAAAATACAGGGAACAAAAAAGAGGACAACCACGGTGATGTGGGAGCTGCAGGTAGACAGGGCCTTACCCCTCCCTTCCCGACTGTAACTTTTAAGGGAGCTTAGAATGACTCCGTAGGAGATGAGTAGAAGGACAAAGACGACCATGCAGATGGCTCCACCATTGGCAACAACAGTGAGACCTATAAAGTAAGTGTCAGTGCACGCAAGTTCCAATAATGGGTACATGTCACAGGCGAAGTGGTCAATGACATTGGGTCCACAGAAGGGGAGACTGTACACAAAGACAATTTGAACCAAAGAGTGTGCAAAACCTCCAACCCAGGCCATCATCAACAGAAGTACGCAAACCCGTCGATTCATGATGGTCAAATAGTGCAGAGGCTTACAGATGGCCACGTAGCGATCATAGGCCATCACCACCAGAAGGAAGACCTCAGCTCCACCAAACAAGTGTTCTATAAAGAGCTGACCCATGCACGCTGGGAAGGAAATTGTCTTTTTATCACAGAGTAGGTCTACAAGCAATTTGGGTGAAATGGCAGTGGCATAAGCAGCATCCATAAGTGACAGAGAGGCCAGGAAGAAGTACATTGGGGAGCCCAAGGAGGGGCTGCTGTTAATAGTCACCACGATGAGCAGGTTGCCCACCATCGTCACAACGTATGTGAGTAAAAACATCACAAATAAAGCTTTTTGACCATCAGGATCCTGAGTGAGGCCCAGGAGGACAAATTCTGTCACATTGTTACTCTCTCCCATTTACTCTTCTGTAAGGCTTATATCAGAACTGAGAGCTCAGAACAGCACCTGTAATGAAATTGTGAACAGGACTATGAACATACCCACAATACCATGGAGCACATCTTCATCATCAGACCTTCAACAGTGGTTTACACACAATATACATTTGCTAAGTATCTACTGAGTTCGTCTTCTAAAACTCACACTAGACCTTCCTTTAATAACTCTATTTTCCTTATTTGATTTTGTTTAGGTCCTACAAGTAAAAGTTTCTATCTCTAAGTCTTAGTGGATATTCTATGGAGAAGAATAATTAAAGGCCTAACAATCATTCATACATTTATTAACTCCTTATGTAAAATATGTCACTTCTTGGCTCAGACATCAGGTACTCATGACACCTACTCTCTAGTGGTGACAATAAATTCTAAATAAATAAATTGGCATAGAGTCAGTACTTTGAAGTTTTAGCAGTTGTGGTATTTTACAATATGATTTATGTAGCACCAAACATATAAACCTGTTCTGAAATATCTCAATACTGTCGAAATTCACTGTCAGAGCCTTTGACGCCTCATACCTGAAGGATATTCTGTCTTCATTAATCTCTCATTAAATAATAAGAGACTGGACTTGAACTGTACTAAATAGCTACAAAATTATTTAGGACAGTATTTATTGATCTGACTCTTACTGTCTGCTTTTTAAGAAGCTGTAATTAATTCTATTCATTTCCTCTTTGCCTATAGTACAATTCCTATCACACTCACATACGCTATCCTGATTTTCAACAATTATTTTGAACTGAACTGAACTAACTCATGGCTATTGCCACCGAACACATTAACAGCTGGAAGTTTTTTCAAAACTCTTAGGGTGAGCTAGGTAGTGAGGAAGGAGAAAATGAATGCTGAGAATAGAGGTTAAGTCAGTGGGACAGGGGGTTATTTACAATGGTGTTCAGGCACTGAGAGTGCTCAAAAATAGAAAGTCAATGTGCAGAATCCAAAAAGAAGCAATTCAATGATCATTCTAAGCTCAACGTAAGAATACGTGGGTTTGAGTCATTTTCTAAATGTAATCTCAATTCTGTCTCGGTTTGCTCATTGGAAAATAATGGGGTTGAATCAAACAGTCTCAGAATCCTTTCTGTTGGAACTATCTATGATACTATCATGCAGCCCTACTTTAGTCTACTCCTATGACATTTTTTTTTTCATTTTTCTTATTTTTTATGATAAAATAGCAAATTCCCGGATTATCACTGTTCCTTGCAAAATGTAAGCCTGTGGCAAATGGGATTTGATCATTCAGTGTGCAAATAATGACTCTAAGTTTCTCATCAGGGCATACCTATTTAAGATCCAAGGCATTCTTGGAAAGAGAGCATGGCACAGTAGTGAATAATTTGGTCTCTGGAGCCACACTGCCTCTGCCATATCCCACCATCACCACTTACTATGTGACATTGAGCCACTTAATAAACCTCTCTGTGCTTCAGTGTCATTGTTTTTAGAATGAGGATACCTACAGAATGGAGATAACCATCTTAGAGTTGTTTCTGTATTACAATAAATTAAAGTGCCTAGCACAATGCCTGGCACCTGGTATAGCCTCCATAAAAGAGAGCTATTATTAGTGTTCTTGAATTCATTACTCTGAACATTTGGTTAGAACAAATTATCTGGATCTTGGTCAACTTGAAAAGAATTATAGAAATAGTCCAAGATAAAATGAATTGTTCACCACACTCATTAAATTTCTTTCTGGGAATACAATAAAATTATGTATCTTAGGAACTGCTTACCTAATTAAATATAAGTGGTAATTTTACCTGTGCTAGGATGGTCTTTGACGAGAAGCATGCAGAATAATAGGGGGGAAAGTTGGACCCATCAGCAGAGGGAAAGCTGTGAGGTAGAAAATGGAAGGAAGGAAGGATTAAGTTGGGAAGCAAAGAAATTATAGTTAATAAAGGAATGTCCACAAATAACAAGAATATTAATGTGATAATTAAGTGAGACTAGTATTCTTTTAAAATTTTTCTTCAAGAAGATATCTTTCAGTGAGGAAGTACTACTGGGAGCCCAACCTCCTGAGGGTCCTTGTGGATATATATGCAGGAGGTTTCATGGGGCAGCCTCAACAAATAAACACAGACAAGATCCCAGTAAAGAAAACTTTTAAAAATTCTAAAAGTCCCGGATAGAGCTTGAGTCCATCTTCCGAAGTGAGGTATCACAAGAATGGAAGATTAGGCTCCACATGCACTTGCCATCAAATTGGCACTAACTGATCAACACTATGGCGCTCCCATGGTAGTAATGTTCTTCAGGGATTAGGAGGTTGGGCTAGGTAAACTCACAATCAATGGACGCAATGAGCATTATAAGGGGGAAAAGGCACACCTTAAATCATGGTGTTGGTGTGGCAAAGTCATAACATGTAACCGAAATGTTTGTACCCCCATAATATCCTTAAATAAAAAGAAATCATTGATTTCTCAAAAGTTCTAGATCTGATGGTTAAGAACAAAGTTAAAGAACAGAGAAGAATGGGACAATTATGTATACAAATCCTAAATTTCTGTTTATTCATTGCTGAGGAAAATTATAGAATTAACCAAACCTCCCATGTAGACAAGATGATTCCATTTACATGGATTTGGCAGTGGGGGACGTTTTATGTATGAAGAGTTTGAGCTCTCTAGAAGCCGGTTGTGATGAACATCTACATGTCTCATTCACATAATTGAGGAGTTCTGTCAATTTTGAAGCTATAGACTGAAAAAGTCATAACTGTCAATAAACATAACTGTATAAGGTAGTCTTTATCCAATTCTCTATTTTTATCCACATCCCACTTTTCTCTCTTTGATCATCAATGACAGATTTCATCAGGTTAAATCTTCTATTGGACACTTTTACTATTAATATTTATTTGTAAATATCGGGTACATAAACTATCCTCTAAAATTTAAGTCATCAAAGATTTAATATTCTAAAAGCCAAAAGATAGTATTACTAGGCTTTCAACTTAAATCAATAAGTTAACACATTTATAGAGTAAGAAAAATTTTAACATAGATTCTTAAGAACATGACATTTTAAAAAAATAAATTCTCATATTAACAAAAATATTTCTCGATAGTATGTTAAAATTATAGTCTTATAAATCTTTCTAAATAATGGTAAACAAGGTACTTTCCTGACCAAGGGTATATATATATATATGTATATACATATACATATATATATATATAAACATATCTGCTGGGATAATTTTTAGATTCATACATAAAAGTCCCTATTTTGCTTCCAGAACATAATAAGCATTTGTTCCTTTACACTCTAACATATTTGGTATGATATGCAATTTAAAATTTTGTAATTCAAATATACCTAAAAGTAATTCTGAAACTTTAATACATCATGTCAATTATCAGATTCCCAGAAACTGAGATTATAATCCATTAGTTTATCTGTTATACACATAACATGCAATGTATTAATCTTTTAATTTGACAAAATGAAAAATGGACACCTATCAGAATATATATTAAAACCAAATATACTTTGTATATTCTGATTAATTTCTATTTTTCTAGCTTATATTTTCTAATTCAGATTTTTCCAATGAAAACATAGGATATTTAAGACATTAGCTATATTTTAACACATCATTGGAATTTTCAATGAGTATCTCATGTCAGTTGTTTCAAGAACTCACTTTTTGGGTTTTGTCCTTGGGGTGGAAAAATCAATGCTTCTTTCACGGACTGTAATTGTAGATACCTCATGCATCCATGTGTGATGATAGACCACATGGTAGTATATGGATGATGCGTGAATTTAGAAATTGTTCCAAGTAGCAATAGTTTCCATGTTTCCACATAGACTTCCCATTATCTCATTCTTTCAGTGATGTTGAAAGTATCCAAAGTGGATACCTAAAATATAAAGTCAAGACACTTAAACATAATGTCAATATTTATTGTACTAAAGTAGCTGAATATTCTCACCTGATGAGAAAATTCCTTCATAGAAAAACAGAGATGCTGTGTTTGCATGACTATATAAAAATTGAGCTAATTATTGGAAATTAACATGGCCAGTCCCATTATTTCATGGAACAAGTAAACTAAAAATTTATCAACACTAAACTTAATTACTAAATTTTTTTCTTCTCAGTTATTATGAAGCAACCAAAAAGCACTTTACTTTGATTGAGCATTTATTATAACATTCATGTGCCTAGTTATTAACTTCTGTACCTAACAAGGGAAATGCTGGGATCTAACTTCTTGAAAAAGCTAATGACAGAGCATTCTTACAAGTAGAAGAAAAAAATCTTTAGTTTTTCAGCCATTCAAATAGCATAACCCTAAGGCCACTGCTGTCCTAATGGAAAGCATCTCCCTATATGTCCCCAGTCTCATCCCAGGAAATTGGGATGTGGATAAAAATAGGTAAATAAAAGAAAAGTGGGATTTATTGTGAGGTTTACAAATAAGCTGTACTTTTATCAATGCCACTCAGAGTTAACAAAAAGAATCAAATGTTAATAATACTAATAAATATAGAATTAAGTATGTTAATATATGTCCTTTGGCTCACTTTAAAATAATTATTTTCATTAGGTTTCCAGGGTCATTCCTACTGGTGTCTGCACAATGAACCCCATGTCCATTTATAAGTTGTTGCCAAGGAAACAAGAGTTCAACCAAACCCTATGAGTTCATGTGATTATCAACACTCACTTATTATGTAGCAAAATTATGAATATACGCCCCAATAGTGCACAGCTTAGCCTTGGACCAAAGCAGGAATGACAATGAAGTGAAATGAGTAAGAACATCAGCTCCAGACTCATATAGACCTGGGTTCAAATCCAGGATCTTCTACTGGGTGAAACATGTTACTGAAAATTCTTTAAATTCTCAAAGCCTCAGCTGCCACTTATCTGAGTGGGCATAAGAAGAATGTCTATTGATACAGTTCTTGTGAGAATCAGACAAGACAACACACTCAAAAAATTGAGACCTTCCACAAATGTCTACCAGCAATAATGGGTATCAGAAGAAAACAGAACACCTAGAGGACTAGAGACTAACTGAATACATATTCTAGCTTGGGAAGAAATTTGAGTTTTCAGAAATCTCACGGGTTATTTAATCAGGAGAATAATTCTTTCACTTATGTGGTTCCATTGCACATCTTATATAATCATATGCCTAGTTAAATATTGAATCTTCTGTGCCACAAAGGCCTTTGATAAAGAGTCACATAAACACCTAAATGAACCAGATAAAGATCTTTATCATGTAATGGACTCCACTAAAATATGCAGATCTCAATTTAGCTAATAAATAGACTGAATCCAGCCACTGCAAATGGCCTATATATTATTCCTAAGATTTAAAGGGCATATCTAAGCACTGTGCCTCACTTATTGGTAAGTGCTAAAAGATGCACAAACATATTTTAATTGTGAAGAACTACCTGATGTGATCAAAGTTACTGGGAATTAAAATACGACTCTAAGATGAAGTACTAATATATGAATAAGGCATCATTCTCTATGTCTCTTCTAGCTGAATTCAAAGAACTACTAATGCTTTCTGCTTATGGGGCAAAAGTGTTTGCTAGAACAGATGATGCCTACAACAACCTAGAATCTGAATTTATTTACTCCAATAAAAACTACATTGAAAATATTAACTGATGGAAATGTTGCCTCAAAATATGCTGTAATCTATGGTAACTCTCTGTAATCAATATCTATTGCCAAACTAGAAAGTTAAACATAGATCTAGCAAAAATGTTTTATTTTACCCCAAATCTCCAAATAAGATCAATCAGAGAAGCTAGAAAAACATAATATGCATGAGCTTGAAAGCATTTATAAAACTAACAAGGTAAAAAGGATCTGTGGTACCAATACTTTGAATTAAAGCTAAAGAGCTAAAGTCTGCATTTGGGGTCTCTTTTCTCTATAGATATGGAATAATCTTAATTCCACAATAAAAGCCTGAAAAGCTGGGAGGAACTTTCTATACATGCTTTACCCTGAGGGACAAGAAATCAGGGTCTACCCAGGAGAAGAGTCCTTTATCAACAGACAGGCTTTCATCTGAGATCATTTGAGGGCTTTACGCTTGGAATATGGGCAAATGGACAATAGAGTAGTCCTCAAAGGAAACCAAGCCCAGCTTGAATCATCTAATTTCTTGATTGGATTAATGTTATCTGGTATCTTTACTTCTCTAATTCTGGCTGCTAGCTAGAAACACAGGAAATCCTTTTTTAAAAAAAGAAAACATCAAAACAGTCTTGCATTGTCTGACAACTTTTTATACGCAAAATCTGGGACTTAAAAATAACAAAAGTATAGGAGAAGACAAGGCCTGATTGAAAAGCAAGAGCAATAAAAAACAGACATAGATGATATAAATAATAAAAACAAGCATTTTAAAATAAGCTCAGTATGTACAAAAATATTAAAACACAAGATGGATAATATATTTGAAAACTCAAATATATTAACTGAAATTAAGAGCTCAATGAGTGGCTTTAACAGCAGAGTAGACACTGGAAAATAGAGAATTAATAAATTAGGATAAAAATTAGAAAAACATACAGACCAAGGCTGAGAGCAATAAAATAAATGCATAAATATTATAAAAGAGGTATAAAGGACATAGTGTTAAACTGAAATGTACATTTAATGTAATTACAATTCCAGAAAGAGAAGAGAAAGAGAATAGGGTAACCAAAATATTTGAAAGGATACAGCTGAAAATTTTCAAAACTGTTGAAAGACATTAAACTGTAAATTCATAGGGCGTTAAAGTTTCACAAAGAATAAATGTTTAAAAGAATAATTTGTAAAAGGATAAATAGAAAATGTAAAGCATAATGAAACCAAAAGACAAAGAAAATTTCAAGAACATAGTGCATTCAAGAAAATAACAGTAAGACCAACAACCTATTTCTTAAAAAGAAGTGCTAAAAACCAGAAGATGAAGGAAATAGATCTTCATGGTGCTAACTGAAAATATATGTGCACATACAACTAATATCAATTTTTAAATCCTGCAGAAACTTAGGCAAAATGTAGAGATTTTTCTCACCCAATGAAAACAAAATACTTAGAGATTTTGTGACCCATCAAATGATACTATATGGACCTGTGAAAACTGATCTTCAGGAAAAAGGGAAAAGCTCTGAAGTGGTTGGTAAAGAGGAAATTCAGGAAAGAATGAAGACTACAAGAAAGAGGAAATATGCGATTAAACAAAAATGAATGTTAAGTATAGGCAATATTTATAAATGTAAAACAAACAGGAAAATGGGGAATTCAACCAAATACATGATTATTTTTTATTTCAAAAAATTTACAGGCTCCAAATGTTTTGTTACCTGGATTAATTGTATCACGCTGAATGAAGTCAAGGCTTTCAGAGTATCTGCCAGTAAAATAGTGTATTTAATACATTGTACCTGATAGGTAGACTTTTATCCCTCCTCCCTTCTTAGTTTTCAATGTCCATTACACCACTTTATGACCATGTATATCTCCTGTTTAGTTCCCACTTATAAGTGAGAATATGTGTTATTTGTTTTTTCATTACTGAGAAACTTCTCTTAGGATAATGGTCTCCAGTTCCACCCAAGTTTCTGCAAAAGACATTATTCCATTCCTTCTAATTGCTGAGTAGTATTCTATGGTACATATACATACCACATTTTCTTTATCAACTTGTCAGTTGATAGGCACTTATACTGGCCCCATATCTTTGCAATTGTGAATTGTGGTGCATTAAACATTTGAGTGCAGGTGTCTTTTTTATAAAAAAACTTCTTTTCCTTTGGGTAGATACCCAGTAATTGGATTGAATGGTTGGTCTACTTTCATTAATAGTTCCCCGAGGAATCTCCATACTGCTCTCCGTGCTGGCTGTACTAGTTTATATTACCATCAACCATGTATAAGTGTTCCCATTTCACTGCATCCATGCCATCATATTTTGTTTTTTCACTTGTTAATAATTATAATGATTAATTTTATTAAAAAAATAAATGAGTAAATTCCCTGTATTAAAAAAAAGAACTCAATAGTAACAGTCTAACAAGAGAAACATCTTAAAAAGAAGACAAAAAAGGTCAAAATAAAAGAGTAGAATAAACTACATAAACCCTGACCAAAAAAACAGTTTCTTAATGAATATCAGGCAAAACTAGACTTCAAGACAAGAAGCACTACCAGAGATAATTTTTTTTTTTTTGCAATAGCAAAATGTTAGTAGCAGAAGGATATGGCAATTATAAATTGGTATACACCTAAAAACATAGCTTCACAGGACTTTTAAAAAATAGATTGACCTAAAAAGAGAAATAAACAAATCAGTAATAAAACAAGAAGATTTTAGCTCAACTTTCAGTAAAGGCAAAACTATGCACACAAAAACATTCACAAAGTTATTTAAGATTTAAGCAACATCACTACCAGTTTTCACCTATTGACTTTAGAGAAGAATGTATTCAACAGCTGTAAAATCCATTTGCTTTTCAAGGGCACATGGAACGTTTTTAAAAAAAAATCAAGCACTTGCTTGTCGGGAGCTGTGCTGGACACGGGAGAGTTAAAGTGTGGTTGCTGCCTGGAAAACTGGAGTCTTTGAGACATAGCACCTGGCGCCTTGACTCAGAACTCTGACATTCTTGGCCTTTCTTCCAGCAAACGGCTGGTGCTGGACATAGCAGTAGCAGTTATAGAAGGTCACTGAAGTAATCCTGTGCACACAGCCCTCGCAGCTTATAGCCCACCCCGAAGCCCTGCACACTCCTTTCCCAGGATTGTTAGCCACTCTTGGGTGCTGTTTTCCTTGAACTGTCTGAGTAATCATAGTTGAGTATTTGTAGCTTTATGGATATCAGAAGAAAGTTAAGTTGTAGACTAGAAAACTGCTTAAGCAAGGGAAAAGGCTATCAAAATGACGCACGGTTGAGAAAAAAAACAAGAACTGTTTTGTTTTCTGGTTTAATGAAGACATGTATCCATTGCATTCTGCTTCTCCTTTGTTCTTATCTGTATCAATAAAGCAACTGAAATAAACGCGGCACAGCAGTCACCAAGGACTCTGTCCTTCCGTCCCCATCTGTTTGTTGTCTCTTCATTTCTCAGCCTCGCCCCCTAACTCCAGGTGCCGCACGTCGCCGGCTGGCTCTGGCACTTGCTGCTCCAGAAAGAAATTCTCAACAAATTTCAAAGAATCATAATCATAAAGTATGTCTCTGTACATCAAGAATATAAGCTACAAAACAAAATCTTAAAATTAGCCAGATAATTTCTGTATGTTTGAAGATTAAGCAAATACCCTATGAAAAACCCACTGGTAAAATAGATAGCCATAGAAGTTAGAAAATATTTTGATCTTAATGAAAATGACAATATAACATATCAAAGCTTGTAAAAGTCAGCCAAAATCTTACTGGCATTTATTAGAATATAACAAAGACTGAAAAACCAATGCATTAAATGTCCATTCAGGAAGTCATTTCACTAAGCATAATATCCTCCAGGTTCATCCGTGTTATTGTAAATGATATCAAAACTTCCTCATAAGTACATAAAATTGTTTGTAAATTAAAAATAAAATAAAAAAGTTATTAAAGTTCTCCAGCTTCATGCATGTTGTCAAAAATAGGAAGATTTTCTTCTTTTTAATTAAGGTTGAATTATATTCTAATATATATATATATATATATATATCTCACATTGTCTTTTATTTGTTCATCTGTTAATAGCTTGACAGACATTTGTTTCCATGTCTTGGCTATTGTGAATAATGCTGCAGTATACACGGAGGTGCATATATCTCTTCAAGATACTGATTTCATTTCCTTTGGATGTATACCAAGAAGTGCTGAATCACATGGTAGTTCTATTTCAAATTTTATTTTTTTTATGAACCTCCATGTTTTTCCTATAATGGCCGTACCAATTTACATTCCCACCAATAGTGTACAAGAGTTCCCTTTCCTCTACACAAAAAGACAAATATCACGTGATCTCACTTGTATGTGGAACCTAGAAAAGTCAAACTCATAAAAGCAGAGACTAGAATGGTGGTCGCCAGGGGCTGGGAGTAGGGAAACTGAAGAGATGTTGATCAAAGGATACAAAGTTTCAGTTATGTGGGATGAGTAAATTCTGGAGAGCTACAGTAGAACATGGTGACTATAGTTAATAATACCATATTTTATATACTTGAAATTTGCTCAGAGAATAGATCTTGAATGTTCTTATCACAAGAAAAAGTAATTATGCAAGGTGATGGATACATTAATTAGCTTCATTGTGATAATCATTTCACAATGTATATGTTTATCAAACATTATACTGTATACCTGAAATATATATATTATATAATATATAATTTTTATTTGTCAATTATTCCTCAATACAGCTAGAAAAAGTAAAAACAAAATGCTTTAATGACAGCAACAGTTACTAATCTGCATGGTATGGCAAAAGCAGATAAAGTAGATAATTGCTGCCCTGCAGTCTCCCTTGAAGGTGGTCTTGAAGCATTATGGTGAAGGAAAATCCTCCCCGTGGGCAGTACTTTGAGCAGTCCATTGGGTTTTCCACTTAATATAGAAGGAGAAGTTGCCTGAATTATGGATCTATTCAGACTCATGGACACTGGCTAACAGATCTAATAAGATACTGAGGGTTATGGAAAGAAAAAAATGGAAAAATGATGACAAAGGAGTTGGAGGAGTGGCATGTAGATGGAGCTCTTATAATGGATACCAAATGCAACAATGTTATTTTCCCACATAAATGGGTATCAAAGAGAATCTACTACAGAGAAGTCTTTCAAAAACCCAATCAAGAAGATGAACTATACTTTGGATATCAGTCAGCCATTTCCCCAGTCACCTATGTAGTCACTGTGGCAGATATGAATACTCTATACCAGCTCAGTGAACGACATGGTCTGCCTTTCACCATGCCTGACCTGGCCACTGTCACTGCTCAATGTCCAAAATTCCATCAGCATAGACCATCATTGACGATTTGCTAGGGAAACTAGCCAACAAACTTGTGGCAGCTTACTTCATTGAAACTCCTGCATCTGGAGGAGACAGCTTCTTGTCATCATCATATTTGTCCCAGAACATCAGCCTTATTTATTATTCATGGAATACAATCCATCATCCATTAATGTGATAGCTCAACACTGTCATTTTTAACCAAAGGACACATTTTCTAGTAAACACAGTGAAACAAATCACTGACCACCATAGAATTTACTGGCATAACCCCATTTCCCATCACCTAGAAGCCATTGGTTGGATAGAACATGGGAATGTCCTCCTAAAGGCTGAGTCGTGGTGCCACCTGGAAGACTCTAACCTAAAATTTTGGAATGCTCTCTTCTATGTTTGACACACAAATGTGCTCAGTTTTATGCATCATACACCTTGTGCCATGTATATCATAGGAGAATATCCTCACACTCATGAACATTCCTCAACTCAGACTTATACTTTGCCCTTCTCCACGTCAATGTCCACAAGATCCATTTCCATACATGTTCCTCCAATTTTTGCCAGTACGTATTATCTAGATTCTGTAATTTTTTAATCAAGTAAATTATTTCCTTGTAGAAGAGGACCATATATCTAACTTGCACTCTAGGGACACCTGAACCTAAATATTATTAGGATGCAATGAGGGACTGCTCTGGGCAAGGGCATGAGACCTTGGTGAGGTGGCTCTCTGCGGCTTTCACAAATGTTGAAAGGGCTAACATGTGAAGGTTCTACTAATAGCACTCCCAACAACTAGAGAAATAATCCTTTCTTCCCAAAGGGAAGGCAGGACAGTACATCCCCACATACATCACAGGCTACTCTTTATGCCACTTGAATCTATTTCTTCATATGCATCATACAAACAGCTACTTTAGGGTTCTCTTCCAGGGTGAAAGTTAGAAAGGAAAGGTTAAGGGACAAACTGTGCTCTTTGCCACTGCAGCTGATCTGAGTTGCAACTGCTATTTACCATTTCCTTTCTTCATTATCAATTCTATTCCTCCCACTTAACCTTAGGCTACTACCGCTATTGGTCTCAATGACTTCCCTAAAGGTGTAGGGAAGTCCAGACCTTCAACTCTCAAAATTCTGATCCCCGTTCACTGTGCCCATTCAAAACAGGATTCCTGCACATTCATATTTAATTAGACAGGGGGGTATCAAGATGTGCCCAAATAGCTCACCTGGGAGACAAAAATATTACTCCTTGTCACCATTGTGTTATAGCACCTCCCTTTCCACATGATAATCTAGGTCGATTATCTCTGCCACAATTCCTACAGATAGCAATCCTTCTAGTGATAGGAGAGCCATGTTCAGTCCAACACTATGACATAGGGGATGCATTGAACAA